TAACACAAATAGGTATTATAACGTCTTTCTTCCTTCCTTCTTTCTGTGTTACTTTTACCATCATTAGTAGATTATTATTGTTATTGTAGCATTAGTTTTTAAAAAATCGTGTTTGTTTGTTATTTACAGTTATTATTATTATGGGTCAGTAAATTTTCCTGTCCTCTTTTGAGAGATAACTTGCAATCGTTTGTGTTTTATGCAGTCTAACTTATTTATAAGTAAACTGAACTGGCATATGAACACCACAACATGTTTTTAATTACAAATGTCTGATAATTATTGAGTTGGTAAGGGATATATTTCATTAAACTGAGGTAAGGGACAGGATTAAATTAGTGTTCAGAGAAGTAGTGGCAGGTTAATGATTTTGTTCTTGGTTGTGTATGCACTTATTTGTTTTGTTGATAAAAACCAGTTTTGAAATCAATAAGTAAATGCAAAACACACGTTCCTCCATTTTAAGGTGTGTGTTTGCGTGGATGTGTTCGCCTTGCATCTAGCTTTGGCTACAAACAAAAGTAAGCTAACTAAAGCTAAGCTACAGGAAAACCTGCTATAGTGAAAGAAAAGCTCATGCCAACCAACTGAATGTCTGCCAGCATTGTTGGTCTCCACTGATCATCCCATTAATGTTAATTTTATTGCTACTAAATCTAGTCAGGCTAAGATTTATTGTGCCAGCATTGACTTGCAATTGCAATTATACCCAAACTGTTGCACTGGGGAAAGTTTCACCTTGATTAAGACAATAAAGGTTTATTAGTTTGTAGAACATGTTTATAAGTGGGTAACCCAGTTATAAAAGGCTTTTTTTTTTTTTTACATCAACATGTAAATAGGCCCATCACTTTCATTGAGTTTGAAAGTTTGAGGGCTTTCCTCAGAGATTTATGCTCTGCAGATGTAGTTCTTGGAGTTCTTCCCGTTCTCGCAGTGTCTGAGAGGATGGCATCGATGTTTTTGGGTTATGTAATCTTTTAATCTCTAACTGGAACATTAAACTCTTTAAAAAAAAAAAAAAAGTATTTGCCTCCAAGCTGATATGAATGTACAAAATGCTCACTCTACTAAAAGCTTTTCCAGAGCAAGCTGAAGTTCTGTCTGATGAGTTGAGAAACTGGGCGAGCCTCAGCGTCTAATCAGCACTCAGGAGGTGATTAGACGCCTCAATCACAGGATCTCCACAGCTGCAGTTCTCGTGGTGCATCCCCCCCCGTTCCCTCTCCAGAGGTAAGAATAGAAAAACTATTAAAATTGTGCCAACCTTATGGGCAACTCAGCCTCATGATGTAGGTGGGAAGCAAAGCCCTGGCTGGTGCTGGTCCAGCTAATAAAAGAGTGAAGACAGCTCAGATTACAGGCGGGGTTTATATGGGTCCAATTAGAAGAACATGGGGCAGTTTGTTGTGTATGGCCGCGTACACAGCAGTCAGGGTGGTCCGGGTAGCCATGCTTACTTTTAGCCATGACTGTATCAGACCAGCAGGAGAGGAAAACGGCGTCTTGTTGTCTCATTGTCTCCCACAGTGTGTTTACCTGGAGGGGACGGGCGGCGGTCAGAGGGGCAGACTCTGCCAGGAAACCTCGGGCCTTTGCTCCTCAGAAAGACTCCGTGTTTACGGAGGAGCGTTTTAGTTTGAGTAACAATTCGAGATTTCTTTTTTTTTTCTTTTTTTTTTTAAATCAGGCTTCCCAAATGTTCCAAATCTTAATTGAAATTATGTGCTGGAAAAAGGACGAGTGTAATTTGAGGAACTCTCGAAGTTTTAAGTGACAGGTGTCAAACCCAAGGCCCGCGGGCCAATTCCGGTCCGCCATAGCTATTCATGTGGCCCTCTAGAGACTACAGGATCAAAGGGCCGATTGGGGCAGAATGTGTTGATAAACCTACCAATTAACAAACTGTTAAAATATTAGTTTTCTCTGCGACAAATTAATCGCATGATAAATTACAACAAGCTTCAGAATTTCCATTTGCATAATTTATCATTTTCCTCTTTCCTCCAAAAACCGGATGACAAAGCCTTCAGACTGGTGCATTCGTCTTATTTTGAAGGACACTTTTGTTAATAGATACGCCATAGTTCACTTTATTTGTCGTTTTGTTTTTTTGGTTTATTTATTTTGGATATCTAAAACGTTGCAGTGTTAGATGTTTATTTGCAATTACCGCCATTATGTTACTCGAAAAAGGTCTAGAAACAACATTATCGTTTATCGTGATAAATTCTGGGACAGTTTATCGTGCGGCAAAATTTGCCGTCGTGACGGGCAAAGTTGTGACGGTGCAAAAATTGTGAAATGCATGTGAATCCCTTTTTTTCCCAAGGCACTGTATAAAAACCAGGTATAAAATAAATTTAGATTTTTGCCCTCTCCTTTTATTTCGCGTCATGGCGGAAGCGTCAGAGCAGAAACGTGTCGGTTGCTGCTGCGCAGGCCCGACCAACCTGAGGCCGAGGTGGAGAAAGAAGGAAGCAGAAGACAAGTGATGTTAAAATGAACATTTATAATGACTCTTTTGTTGCCGTCGCAAAAATAATCTTTAAAAAACAATTCAATTATTAACACTGAAATGCTGACTTCACTGGTAGTCCACGAGTCATAGAACACAACTCACTGAATTTCTTTTACAAACACAGTACTACAGTTACATTAAATAGTCATTACCGTTAAATCTATTATGAGTGATGCTCAAAGAAACAAACAGAAACAATGACGAGTAATTAATCCTCTCTTTCCCTCACCGTAGTAGCTGTTGTCTTTTTTTTTCTTTTTTTTTGTAGAAAATATCCTGCTTCTGAGATGTTTCTGACCAAAGCAGAAAACAGACTGGCAGCATAACAATAATGGTACGTGAGCTCCAACATTGCACAAATAGGGTGATGTTTTTTTTATTTGTTTTTTTTTTTTCCTTTTTATAGGGGAGCGGAACCGGGACGGGATCGTCCCGCAGATCCAACAGTTACGACGGCTGGCTGCCTTTTGGCTCAGTGTGGGATTATTTGGCACTCTTATTGACAAAAAGCTTTCTCGTTTTTTGTTTTCCCTTAAAATGGCACAAGAAGGCGTTTTCTTTCCAAACCACGTTCAAGAGACTCGTATAAATGCTCTCAGAGAAAGCCCTTTAGGTAGCCTTACGCTGCGGACTTTCACAGATTCTCACAGATTCTCCTCGTTCGTCACGACAGAAAAGACGGAACCGTTCTCGCTTGTAAGTATCGAAGAGAAATATACCCAATGAACAAAACATCACTCTCTGCTCAAGCCGGAAATATTTGATCTTATGCTGTCAGTCCATTTTTGTCTGAGATGGAGCGAACAGAGGTTAAACGCCAAAGCAAATCCCAAAACCTAAAGACATGAGAACTTTTGCAAAGTACAAATGTGCTTCCCTTACGTTGACACATAAAGCAAGCGTTCAGTCAAAGGAAAAAAAAACAAAACGAAACAGAACAGAACAGTCTTCCAGAGCTTGAGAGTTCAATCTCCAACACACACATGAGTTCTGAGGATGTAGAAGGTCAACAAAGTCCATGGGAGGTTCTGAGGGTCAAACACAGAAATGGCCTCATGTCTGGTTGGAAAAGAAATCCTTTTTTTTTTTTTTTCCTTTTTCCCAGAAAAGCCTTAACCCGTTTTAAAGGGTGGACACAGTTGCAGGTTCTCGGCGTAATGAAACAAGTCATGGTATCGTGCAGACTGAGAGAGAGAAAGAGAGACTCAGGTAGAATTGGTTCAAAGAGAGGAGTGAGCAGCCGTAGCCAGTTTTGTAGCGTTTCAAAATCAGTCCTAGCCTTCTTGTGAAGGGGGATGAATGTCCAGAACACGTTTGGAGTGAAAATCAAAACCGACAAAAAAAAAAAAAATAAATAAAAAAAAAATCACCTTTGGAATGACGCTGCCAATTGGTCTGGCGCTCGGATGCGAAACACGGAACGATGAAACGGATAAATCGTTGATACAAGCAGGCCTGAACCAATCACAGCTTTTTCCCTTTGTGGTTTTCCTCCGTTTGGGGCGGCAGAGTCGCTCTTCGTGTTGCTGGTGCCAAGGACGTCTCTCAGATCTGATGTTTTACCCTTCACTTCAAATCTTCTGGCAAAACAAGAAAAGAAAAAAAAAACAAAACAACACACACACACACAAAAAAAAAACAATCCTAATTTGAGATTTAAAACCAAAGTGGACACGAGTGTAGAGATCAGTCCTCCGGGAATGTGGCAGAGAAGCCTTAGAGAGAGGAAACAGGTGCTACTTTTCTATTTTGTCCGAGATTCCAGCCCTTCCCGTCATTCTCGAGACCCAACATGGGAAAAAAAAAAGAAGAAGAAATAAATCAGAACAAAGGATGACAGCAACATGGTTGTGGAAAGCCAACACGGTTTGCCTCATTTCCCGCCCACCCATCGATAAAGTGCATTTATGCAACACCAAACAAACAGGAAAATGTTGACAGCGAATCGGAAGTTGTGTTCGCATATCTGGTTCATGACTGCGGCCGTCTGAGGCCTTTACCTGACTGGAGCCGTTTAAACGCATTTAACTTTACATGTAGTTGACATTCCTGCCGTGAATTTACATTAAAGACAGTTAGACATTCAACAGAACCCCCCCCCCAAAAAAATGCTTTTTTTTCTCTTTTTTTTTTTACAAAAATTAATCAAAAGAATACAAGAAAAAATGAGTACATTCATTAGATTAGATCTGGGCTTTCAAGCTGTGACAAAAATAAAAAATAAAAAAGAAAGAAAGTGGCATATTCATGAGGTTCCAGCTGAGATCCTGAAAACACAAAGAGCCAATGCACTGAGTAACATTTTCACGTTTGCTTGTTTCACATTTGTAATCCTCCTCTGGATCTAAGAAAGAAAGAAGAAGAAAAAAAAAAACATTATAAAAACAAAATCTTCTCAGATGACGTTAGAGAGATGAGTTCGACCCATGAGAAATCCGATCTCAGATGCGTGTTCATGTTTGTGTCTTTTTTTTTTTTTTTTTTTTTTTTGGGCCAACATGACGATAATGAGCTCCCTCCCAACTCACAACATAAGGATCCAACAGTTTTAACATGAGGTGAGTTCAACTCAAAGAGATATACATTTGACTGCATGCAGCGTTTATGTCTCTGAATGTTGCGAGACTCCTCGCAAAATTTTTAGACTTTTTTTTTTTTACCCCCCCATTTTTTCTTTTTTTTCCTCCATAATTTTTACTTTGATACCATGCAATAGAAGACGTGCAAAAAAGATAACACCGAACTCCACAAACACATCGTTTGATTGTTAATGGCTATGTTATGGATGCTTATAACATGTTATGCTTAGTCCATGCTGGCCTATAGAGACATTTGTGAGAAAAAACAGCGGTACTTAAGCCACAGGTCAAACGAACACACGAGGGATGCATGGAGTGTAAAACAACATGGATCCATAAAAATCACAACCTTTAACTCTTACTCTATGTACCTATGGGATAAAACAATGCACAAAAAAGTTCTTTGTCCTTTGTTTTCTTAAGTAATGCGTTTGATTATCTTTTCTTAACTTAAAAGATAAGTGTTTGATTGGCACTTGATCAGCACTTCTAAACAAGTTATTGATATCTAACATTTGATCGCACATCTACAAATTCAGAAGCTGCGGAGGTCTAGTTTGGCACAGGTCATACTATGGAGTCTATTATTTATTACTTTTACTATCTTACCAATACTGTATAGCGCTCTATACACCTCGGCTTAACGCTCCACCCCGTCGGAGCTCTAATCAACAGACCAGACATCTTTTCCACTAAAATATTTTTGTATAGTTTACTTATCAAATAGCAGCATTTTCATAACTTACAAAAAGAAGTACATGTAAACCTATTCATTCAAAATCTTAGTAATTTCAAAGGTTCATACAACAGACATAAAACACAAAACAGGACAACATGCTACTATATTGCTTCCAATATTCTTAACATTTTTCTTACTGTCAAACTAAATCATCAGTGACAGAAATATGGACACCGCCGCTCGATGATGAGGCATCATAATGCACAAACAAACTGCGAAGCTAATCTTAGTCAGGCTTAGTTGGCACTCTCATCATCCACACAAATATAACATAGTTTTCACATTGTATTGACAACGCTGGACTGCATTTGGACTACAAACTAGAATAGCTACAATAAAGTACATATAGATCATATGACGTGACATATTGTATTCCACAGAAATGAGCTCTAGTCATTTTTCAGATAACAGGATATGCATAAAGGATGTCACTGTTTCGGCTTGAGGTCACAAACAAGTTCCCACGTTGCTCTCTCTCTCTCGCGTGTCTTATGCATTCTGTCCGAAATATTTTTGTTTAGAGCTCGAGCTCGGCCATCGGATTGATATTCGTTCTGCCAAGATTTGCCTTTTAGTTTTGAAAAAAATAAAATAAAATAAAAATAAAAACAAACTAAAATTTTTTTCCTTCCTTTTAAAAGGCCAAACCTATTCCCCCCAACCCACAAAATCTTTCTTCGTTCTTCCCGCTGAGGAAAAAAAAAAATTGACACTTTTGAGCTAACGTTTGCTGGTTGGTCTCGGTGGGTGTCACAGTTTTGGAGGCAGGTGTTTTTCTGTGCATTTTTAGCCTTGTGAACTCTGCGGCCTGGGAAAACATTTTCATACCCCTACAACCCCGTAGTGCATAACTCCCACCCACGGCGCGTCCAACACATCGCCCATGAGACGACAAGACAAGAGGAAGGAGAAAGAGGGGGAGAGCACAGTGTAAGGAGGGAAGGACGGACAGACGGAGGCGGCTTGGGGACGCAGGAGGAGCCTCAGAACGCAGACGGGAGGGCGTGCAGGGGAACGAAAACATCGGGAGGAAGAGGAACGTTAATGGGAGGGAGAGGAAACGGATTTTGGCACAATGTATGGATCAGGGAGCTCTGAAGGAGAAGCTCTCTGGAGTCCAACAGTCCAGTTGCATTGATAAAACACCCCCTTGTTTTGTGCTTTTATCTTATTATATGCTAAAATCTCGGGCAGTAAAAGGTTCGCTTATGCAATGATTTCACAGGTGGCCAGATTGTAGTTATGGATGACTGTGAGTCCTTCCAAGCACAGAGTGAAAGGAAGAGACGTGAGCTGGGAAGAAAGGCCCACCGCTTGTATTGCCACGCAGAATGTTGACACACAAAGAGTTGCTTGAAAGTAGTTTGAAATCTGCTTACTTCTCTCTCTCTCTTTTTTTTTCTTCCACACACGATTCGTCAAAAACAAAAACGTCCATTCATCAGATTCTCCTGAAAACTGGGAACGTCTGAATTTCTTTCACACAACTCAGCACCAACCCTCACAGCTTTGCATTAAGGAAGCTGATCACAGAGCTTGGCTTGATGGCGACTATATCGGAAATGTCCCTTAGAGCAACAGGGAGGCGGACGTACGACGACCGGGGAGGTTCAGTTTGGGTCGGTATTAGATGGGTAAATTTAGTAAAGGGGAAAAAAAAGTCAAAAGACGCAGGTGTAATAAATACATGTGTGGAGAAATCCTCTCTGTTGGTACAGTAAGGCAGAGCCGGCCCAAGACCGTACGGGGCCCCAAGCAGAATTTCATTTGGGGCCCGATTCCAGTTAAGCCCCTCCACCAAGGCACCAGTAACGCCTCTTTAAACTGCCCAAGCTTGATTGTTTTCTTGTTCATTCTTTAGTAATAAGACAACAGTTACTTCTTAATCACAGAGTGTGTTTCACTCGACCTTCAAATTATTTGCTTTATTCACATTATTTGTCTGTTAGGCACCAGCGTAGACAAAAGCAGGACAAAGAAAAAAATGAACAAAAAAAAAAAAAAAACTAGCATTAAGACCATTAACTAGAACTTAATCGTATTAATTCTGATTAATTAAACATAGACAAAATTGTGGGTAAAAAAAAAACGACTGCATTAATTGCAGTTCTCTTAAGTTTTTGGCACATTGGTAAAACTGTTCCACACCCTCCAGCCCAGTAGGAGGCAGTAATGCACCTTAAGTCTAAAGTCAATGAACAGGACATGTGTGAGCTTGGTGAACAGTGATGGAGGACTTGGCTTGGTTTGTTGGGCGGAAATATTTTGGTTTTTTCCCCCACAAAGGCAGCTGAAACAAGAACATGGTTGTGTACAGCCTACACCTAGACTTCAGAGCCAAAGAAAGCAAATCTATATCTGACCTGATCACTTAAAACATGTAGAAATCTACTCACTGATTTAGTCATGAGCCAAAATCAATTAGGATTGACAAACTTGCCAAGTATCGCTGATTAAAAAAAATAGATTAATCAACATTAATTAGAAAACTTCCAATTAATTTGAATAATTGCGTTCCAGGACTACTGCTGGAATCAAAGACCATTTCTCTCCACATGACTTCAGTTACTACATTTGCCAGATCTTAAAAATAAAAATAAATACATTTTTTTAAAGACAACATTTAATTTAAATTTTTAAAAGAATTTAAAACTCTTTTAGAAATTGCTAAATCTTCTGAGCGACGTTAAAGATAGACATATGCTTTCTAAACACTGATGCATATTTGACGCTTTGAGAAGTCAAGTGCTCTCTGGGGCCCCCTGCTGGCCTTGGAGCTCTACGTAGTTTACTTAGGCTATGCCCTTGGATAAAGGTTTGTCAAAGAAACTTGGGATGGAGGCTATATGCTAACGTCTTTTTAAAAAATTGGCATGTCCTTGATATGCTAACCTAATAGAGACAAGATGGCCATGTTTGGAGCGTTGGGCCGGCTCTGCAGATTGGTTTTGATCTTGTGACATAAATGTGCATATAAAGATGTATTCACACCCCTAGCAGGACAGACACACTTTACATTGCGGTCTAAATGCCTCACAGTGCAGTCTTTAGAGAGCCAGCAGACTCAGGATGAACGCTATGGATAGCAGCACAGAGGGGGTCAGATGCAAAGTAATCTTGGAGTGCTTCAGACATTTGGCCTGCCACTGTCAAGACAAGCAAAGTGGCAATAAAAGACAACAATCCAAAAAACACGTCACGTTTCATTATATGCTCCACTCGAGCATTAACGTACGTTGGGAACAATAATATTCTGCTTAAGTGAGCTGCAGAAATTTCTCTTGTCGGCATGTCAATTAGGAAGCATTTCTCACAGAAAAGTGACTCCAAAACTTCGCTTTCTGCTCCACGTTGGGACTATTTGGTACCCTTACAGAAAAGGCAATAGCTTCTTTGTTCACAGATGTAGGTTCTTACAGCTCTTCTTATAAAAAAAATGCTTTTGTAGTGCTTTTGTTCTCTTCGCGAACTGCCACTGCTTCCAGGAAGTCTGAGCCTGTAGATAATTCTTGGGTGTCACGAATGTCTGGCTAAGGCAAATAAGTATGTCAGGTGTTATCTACTGCAGGATGTTCGGCTTGTGTTATAAAACAATGGACTCATATTAGAACAGCCGGACTGCTTTGACTCACAAAATATTCTGAATTCAATCAATTGTCATTAGGTAAGAAGCCGGGTCAGATCCAGTGGGCTACCAATGGCTGGACAACACGACGGCTACTTCGAATCAAGTAAAAACTCAAGTTGTGGAAACGTTTGAATTCCACGGTACAGGAGGTACAAATCTAAGCCTATAGCACCAAGAAAGGGTTCGTCAACAACATATTTCTTTGTGTTTGTAGCAGTGGCTGAATATGAAATGATGTTCTAGTGTTTGTGCGTTTGTGGGAGCGTTCTCTATGTGTGTCTGTGTTAAAATATAGATTATACATTCCTGTGTGTCTCCTCTGTCCTCTCGCATTGATTCTTCAACCCCTGAACTATACCTGCAGACGGCAAGAGCACAGTTCAGACTGGGTTTGAGTTATACATTTCTTTCACTGCAACACAACGTTTGATCCCTGGAAAGGAAAAAAAAATTAAAAAAATAGCAACAGGCTAAAATTGTTTTTACATTCAGATCAACCTGCGTTCGCAGGTTTAAATAATCTACTTGTGTTTGAATGAGACTATGTCAATAAGTTAAAGGATGAAAATATAAAATACCCAAATTTTTTGTCATTTCAGTCATGAAATGAGCTAGAATTCGACACACGTCAACATAGATGCGCTTTTGTTTGCTTGTAAAGAAATTATACTTGGATTGCTGCCCTAAATAGCTGAGATGAGCTCAGGTGCTTGTCATAAAACCTCTCCCTTGGTAACAATGCCTTCTGCATTGAACACAAAGAGCAAGGTTTGTAAAACAGCTCTATTAGCTGGCCGGATCTTCATCTGATACGCTCAGCTCACCGGGAGCCGAGGTCTCAAACCGACTTAAATCCAACAAAAAAAAAAAAAAACAAAAAAAAAAAAAAAAAAAAAAGAACAAAATGAAAACAGTAATGAGGTTTTAGAGGAGGGTGAGACTCCGCAGCCTCACTCCTGAATCTGCAACTTGGCAGTGGACCAGTTCAGCTTACTCTGATCACCATTGTCAAAAGGACTTGACACAAACTTTTAAAAAACATCAGGACTTCTGTCCTAAAAACACACTCACAAATCACACACACTTATCTTGGTTGTCTCCCCCCACCTCCTCCTTTGTAATTCTCTCGTTTGATACTGAAATATTGAACATATATTTGGACATTTCTTTTTTTCTATTCTTCTTGACTCTCTTAATTCCTTTCTATTCTCTGTCTTCATCCTTTCCTTCTTTTGTCTTCGCTTTCGTTTTAGCCCACCTTCTGTGGGTTGGTAGCGCGCACGCCCTGCTCGTACGTGATCCGCTGGCTGATCAGATACTGCGCTGCTTGTGTAGCGGCCGGCGACCCTGTTATTGTAACTTTACGGTTCCGAGTACCTGGAATGAACTCTCCTTTTTTGGAGATCTGGATGCGGGCTCCTGTCAGCTCCTGGTACTCTACCAGTGTTTTCCCTCCTTTCCCCAAAATGGCGCCCACCAGATTCTCGGGCACAGCAATTTCAACCACGTCCTTGGCTCCGTCTGCCAACTTTTCTGTTGCCAACAGGGAGGAAGCCATCAATGGGGATGAAGCATTTAGGTAACCGTTGGAAGCTCCAGTAGCAGCTGCTAGCGAGCCCAGGGAGAACCCACCGAGGCCTGTAGCGGGGTGGCCGGCACTGCTGGAGGCATCATTAGCGTAGGAGGCCAGTAGGTTAGCTGCAGCGGCAGCAGCTGGGTTGGCACTAGCTGCCACTGCAGCGAGGACTCCAGAGGCAGCTGCGGGGTTGAGACCCAGGCCCAGGGTGTTAGTGTTGTAGCCATAGCTAGCCAGTGTATTCAGGGCTGAGGTGATGGCCAGCAGATCGTTGCCAGAGAAACTGGACATGGCGGCAGGGAAGGCACCCATTCCTGTCAATCCGGCCTGACCCAGAAGGCTGGAGGCAGTGGCAGCTGCTGCGGCTGCGTTGGGCAGCACCTCGGCTGTGTTGGCGTAAGGGGAGCCGGTGGGGTTGGAGTTGGCCACTGGACCCGAGACGTTGGAGTAGCTGATATTCAGGCAACTGCTGCTCTGAGGGTCCTCCTGGATTTTCTGCACAATGATTTCCACAGCCTTACGGTTCTGTTCTGGCTCTCCGCTGATGGTCACCACCCGCTCCTGCAAGTTGATGCCCTCCGGCTTCTGAGAGAGCTGCACCCAAGCTCCCGACTGCTCCATCACCGCCTTCACTGTGGCACCACCCTTACCAATGATCAGCCCTGCGGTGCTATTGGGTACAATCAATTTGGCCTGCAGAGACATAGAAAGATTGTGGTAGCAAAAGCAGGAAATATGAGCAAGATTGCACAGCATTAATGGTAAATGGATAAGAGGAGTATCTCTAACTGAGTCAGAGTACTACACCAGCCCTCACTCTACTCAGCAGTTTGCTAATCCCTGGGGTTTAGGCTGCAGCTGCCACACTGCCACATGGTTCTGTCTAGCTATGGAAGACTGCAGGTAAAAATAACCCCATACACTCACATTTTCCTGACCCTACCACACTGTAGGTCACAGACCACAGAACAAGTAGGATAGGTAACAACCAAAGTGTTCAGGAGCTGCTTCACACCTTAACGCTCCTATTGTTAGAAATATTAGGCATTGAAACCCTTGGAAAAGCTACAGCTGCTTTAAAAACTTTCCTTTGTGTTCCTCAACTAAACTATAAACAACTACTGCATCGGAGAGACCAGCTTAGGTTCGCAACCGTTTGTTCCTTTTCAAGGATCTAGCTGCCAACTCAACAGACTCTTACCTGTTTAACGCGGTCAGGGTTAACCGTCGTCTGTGGTTGCAATATGCTGACAGGTTCTGGTTTCTGGGCACTCTGGGGCATCTCGCGGACTTTCTCTGCAATGAAGTTGTGGACGCTATTGAGGGCTTCGACAGTACCTTGTATCAGACAGACTCGTTCAGTTGTTCCTGTGATAAAAGAGGCAGAAGAGGACAAACGTGATCAATGGGCGACAATTACAGTCCTCTGAGTGGACACTTGGCGAGCAGATTTGAGGGATTTGCTTGTGGCTAAACTAAGATCTACATTTGTAATTAGAAGTCCTGGATGCAATGAATGGTCCTCTACGTTAAATGGAGCTATTCTTCACTCTCTCCATTTGCACAATCAACTGAGAAACAGCTGAAAGAGTGAACACTGCTTAGTTAGCGAGCCACGGGGGGGAGAAGGATTCCTCTTCGATGATGTAACACTTACTGTGCTGTAATCCTGAGCCTGTCCTTGCCTTGCAGCGTTAATAGACTAAACACACATTTGTTCTTCCTCCAGGCTTCTTTCTACGCCCACATCGACGACCCAACTGGCATTCTGTTGCCATGGTAAAGGGCCCAAGCCATGGAAACAGGTGATGCAACACCAAGTCTTTTATACTGGCTTGCACGATTTCTACAACACTCTCCTTTTTATGTATCCATCTTGCTCTTGGCAACATTTGCCTGTACTTTGGAAGAATGGAGGACGTCTACAGATTCTTTTTTGTGTGTGTGTGTCGGCTTGACGTATATCTGTGCAACCCGAGAGAAAGGTTTGGATTCCTACTCTGAGTAAAATCTGTAAAAAAGACCACCTGATGAGATGATATTTAACAGGTTTGCTGTACAAGTCTGCGTCTGTCGTTTACCAATTTACATGCACTCAGGACAGCCTGAAACCAATAGAGAGAAAATGCATTTGTCAGATTTAATCTGTGTTGTGCTACAGAAATGTTGAATAATGGATGTGGACAGACTGCTGGTCAGTTTAAGCATCAAAAGAACTGAGAAGAAATTCTGTGTTCAAAATTGGAAACGACACAAGGCGTATTTGAGTTTATTTCCTCGTTTTGTTCTAGATGACAAGAAGAACGTTATATTTCTTAAAATAATCCTTCCTGTAGGATCTGTGGAGAGTCTCTTCCATTGCTTTCTCACACACAGTGAGAGTAGATTTGGTTTTCAATACGCCGGCTCACCAGCAGCTTAGGACTCCTTACCAAAGAAACATTTATCACAGAGGAAATTAATAGCCAATTTAAACAGCAACACTAAGGAATAAACTGTGTACAGTAATTATCTGGCAAACGGTTACCTTGGAGAAATCAATATGCATAACTAAATGCATCCATGAGTCACTATGCGATGACTTGAGGAAGTTTTCAAACTTTTCTAACTTCCTGTGGCAGTGCCGGAGTGATAATGTATAAGCAGAAAATGGAGATCTGTTTTCCGTCGTGTTAGCAAAAATAGACACAGACTGTATAAGAACTGTCTGAAGTTAAATCAGACTCAACTTTTCCTGTTGTAGCTTATTTCTGTTTCTAAAGGCCTGAGTGCTGAGACAGAGAGGATGAAACAAAAGATAACATATATGTCCTTAGCTTCTGGTAGAATTTGGGTAAAATGTTTTGGACCCCATAAGCTTTTCACCACAGTTTGCTGGAATATTGGCCCATTCCTCCAGGTAGGTTTGTAGGTTACCTTCCTGACACACACATCTTTTCAACTCTTCACAAATTTTCCATGGGATTGAGATTAGGACTTTTGCACAACCACTCCTAAACATTGACTTTGAAACTAATTTGCTGTTTTGCTTAAGGTCGTTGGATATTTGCAAGACTCGTATGCTCAAGCTTGATTTGAGCATACGTGATGACACCGTCCTTGTACTTTATACTATTCTTAGGTTTGCTTGGTCATTATGGTCAAACACTTCAAAACTTTGTTCCTAAATACATTTGCAAAATGTAATCTGATGTTTTACGTAGTCTTTTGAAGCAATATCTTCCCGTCGCCCCATGTCAATGCAGGACTCATAATGACTCTCTTATCAGCGTCAACCAGCATCTTCATAAGGTATTTTGCATTTGTTTTGGGGTTGATAATATTGCACTAAAACATATTTATACCTGGGACAGAGAACCCGTCTCCTTCCTAAACAGTTTGACATTCCCATGATCTTCCCGCTGTATTTCTGTGTAATACGGGTGGATACGGCACCTCCAGGCAAGTAAATATCTGGATATAACTGCAGTGTTCCTCGCTGCTGTTTTATTTAAGTGTAGAGTTTCAGTTAAGCGCAGCTTCTATATCCAGAAGCAAACACAAGCGGGTTAAAATAAATCCAGAATACTTACCGACTGCCACAATACTTTTTTCTGTTTGTGTTCTAGCGTTCTTTTAGAGCTTTATGAAACAAGCAGACTTGCACACTTTGACATATCTCTCTGTCACTACAAGTAGAAATTGGGGACTTTCATGTTCATCCTTTAAATTACTACAGGAAGAAGCTCTTTAAATCTGGCCTTTTCTTTAACATCAACCTGTTAAACATGGTAAGAGTTCTAGGTTTCAAAGTGCTAAAGGAAAATGTGGATGTTAGATTTTAGGAAAATTAATGGAGTTCGATCTGTTGTCTGTACCCGCTTGTCCTTGCGGGGTTGAGCAGGATGCATCTATTCTCAATGGTGATTGTTCGAGAGGTACACCCTTGAGACAGGACTGTGCTTGTACTCTCAGTTTACACAAACTAATTAACCTGGGATGTTTTTGGACAATGGGGCGCAGCCAGAGTACCAGGAAAGAACTGACAAAAGCACAGGGAGAACGCGCAAACTCCACGCAGAAAGACCCCAGGCTAGGATTTGAACCCAGGACCTACTTGCTGCAAGGCACCAGTGCTAATAACTGGTCCACCATGCAGGAATTACTGCAGAAAATGGTAAAACTAGATATTTTCTTGTTTAACAATCCCTTTGGTAGCCTCCATTATTGTAGGTAAAAACAAAATGCATAAAGATATCAGAACCAGAATAGAAGAAAGAACCAGCATATGCGTACAGGATCATTTCCATGAAGTATAAAAAAAAATAAAAAAAAATATGCGACTTATTTTTAAGTAATTTTCTCACACTGGGCGGCCTCTCACCATGCCGCCTTAGATGCAGAAGAATATGAATTGGGTCATCTTTAGCTAAGCAGAATACACTTAGAAGATGCATAGCCCTGAGTAATCTTGCTTATTGCTTTTTCTTCGGTTTTCCCAACACTAAATGCTGAGAGAGGAAGTCGCTCTGCTTGGAACAGTAATTTTGAGTTACACATCTACGCAACCCAAAGGCTTTCAAAGACTGACATTACATCTCCCTAGACAGCAAAGGTGCTTAAATGCTGAAGCAGAGGCCTCTTGCTGTTGATGAGACACACAAAGAGGACATGAAACTCTCTGGATCTCACAATAACCTCTGTCTGGTTTTTTTTCCACTTCCTGAAACGTTTGCATCAGCTTTCGCCTCGCTTTTGTCTGCAAGAGTGAGGCGTTTCGCGGTGATAGGTGTGCGCGCATCGAGTCCCGCTCGGAGTTTGCTCGTCCTACTGCTGTCATGAGGGGGAGAAAAAAAATGTGTCAGGGCCCCGGAGAGCACACATCTCTGGCTCCAGCTTTCCCCACAGGACCAAAGCCTCTCACGTTCTCCATCTTGATAACAAAGTGCAAAAGTTCCAGCACTTCTCAGGCAGCTGGCAGACGGTTTCCGAGATGAAAATCTAGCACAGAATGAGCTTTGTTTGATTTATTAGGACTGCTCACACCGCCACACGTAGAATACCCCCGTAATTACTGTCAACACATCAGCAGCTTTCCGATGATATTATCCCTGCTACAAACCGAGCTGAAACACTTTTATTGCAAATGTCAAAGCTGAATATATTCATCGCGTCACATTGTTGCCATATGGGATGTCTGTAAAATGTAAGCAGTCACTTCAAAATGTAATCTGGATCTTGTCTGCAGCAGGGAACTTACTTGGATTCATCAACGGATTAAGACGATATAGAAGATCCCAGTGCTGCCAGCATCATCCCACACTAAACTGGTTATAGCTGACTGTTCGACAATTCGTTTGTCAATGTATGTTAACTGTCCTGCAGTTTTGTTAATTTGTTGAAAACAATAAATATATCACACCGGAAAAAAAATAAAAAAATAAAAAAAATAAAAAAAAAATGTGAGACCTTATTGTTAATCTTCCATTTTCACCAAGCTAACCAGAAACAGTTGTGGATTACATCGCATCCCAGCCAGAGGTTCGCACAATCCGTGTGACCTTGTATGAAAATCAACATGCTCATCGCGAACATTTGCTGTCATGTAGTCTAGTGAAATAGGTCTTCAAAGCACAGATGGATTTGCTTTATGTCCAATGTTTTCCTCCATAAATGGTGAGGAAATGATCAAAGTTCCACTTTGGGGGACTTTTATCCACCAGGACGGATAATAATGACGTCTGGTCAAGAGGTGCACCAGCTTGGTAAAAACCAGCCTCCTGTTCTACGCTTTGCTTCGTACATGTACAACAAACTTCAGAAAACCACAGAGGTGTACGACTCCAACAACAAAACCAAAGACATATATATTTTTAAAATTGTTTAAGATAACTTTATTAGTGAGTAGCACCATTAGGGAAGCTAGCATCACTAGTAGCAGCAGTCTCTCCTCTCCAGGTCTTGAATTTTTCCCTTTCAAGACCCTTTTGTCTTATGAACAAACTAATATTTCCAGATCCTGCATATTCCATGACAGACAGAGGAAAGCACAAAAGCAAAAGCAACTTCCTGTAATCCAGATAAGCTTCTGGTTGTCTGCTGAAGCTCCATGCAGCTCATCTGTCACTCAGTTATCGCTGTGCAAAACCTTCTAAATGTTTGGTCTAAGCATATAGGAATTAAAACATCTCCACAGCAAGCCATGCAGCGCAGCAAACTGCTCATTCAGTTATGTAAACTCACTTAAATGAAGCTGTTCTTCCTACCGACGCTTGTCAGCTGCTACAACAGAGCCAGACTTTGACGGCCTCTCCTCCCTTTGCCTTTTCATACCTTTGTAGTTTTGGTCATTTTGAACCTGACTTGTTCAGGAGAGATGTCTTCCACAT